CGTGGTGCTGGTGGGCATGGGCATCGCGGTGGCGGGCTACTGGCCCGGCCGCGCCGCCCACGGCCCGAGGAGCGGCCGCGCGCACGGGCCCCACGAGCGCCTGCGGCTGCTGGGCCCGGTGATCATGGGCGTCGGCCTGTTCGTGTTCATCTGTGCCAACACGCTGCTCTACGAGAACCGCGACCTGGAGACGCGGCGGCTCCGCCGGGGGGTGCTACGGGCGCAGGCGCTGCGGCCGCCCGACGGCCCCGGCTGGGACGCGCTGCTGCCCAGTTCCTCCAACGGGTCCCCGGGAGCCGTCGCGGAGCCCGAGACCTGGGACCTGGCCCCGAGGCGGGGACCTTCGCCCGTCCCGTCGGTTCGCAGCCTGCGGTCCGAACCTGCCAACCCTCGCTCGGGTCTGCCCGCGCTGCTCCACAGCTATCCACTGAAGGGCCCGGGGCTGCCGCCACCCTGGGGTCCTCGGACTCAGACTGGCCACGTGATCATCACCGTGCAGCCCTCGGGTTCCTGCATCGAGCACTCCAAGTCTTTGGACCTGGGCTTGGGGGAGCTCCTCCTGGGGGCCCCGGCGTCTCGGGACTGTGCCCACCGAAGCTGGCCACGGCTGGACCGACTCAGCCTGGGGGGCTACGCCAAGTTAGGAGGGGACTTGGGGTCCCGGGTCTGAGGTGCAAGGGCTAACCTGCTGCGAGGCTACCAGCATGGACCGTGGGACTGGGACACAAGTCCAGTGTCCAAAAGCTGCTCCGGTGACCCCCGAGGCTAGGATGGATGGTGCGGTGGCAGCAGCCGCCGAGGCTCCAGACCTGCATGTGTAGCGCAGTGCCAGCTGCGGCGGGCGAGCCCGGGACGTGTGTTTATGTGGACACCAGCATGATTCAGCCTCAGGAATTTCTTCAGCCCCTGTGGCCTTAGCCCGGGACCGGTACCTGAGGGGCTGCAGGCTAGGCCAGCTAGGCCAGGAGCATCCGGGGATGCACCAGGGACCTCGGCAAACTCCCAGCTGCCTCCAAGATGGCAGTGGTGACTGGAGGTGGGAGCCCGGGGGAAGGTGGGCAGTGAGGTGGAAGGGCGAGCCTCTGCAGCCGTCGGGGGCAGCGGCTGCATCTCTGTTACCACCTCAAGTCCGCTCTCCCCTCAGCTATGCGGGCTCTGTCCCGGCAGGCTAACTACTGCCAGTGCCCTGACCTGGGGTCGGACTGCCCCCGGGAGACAGGTCCCACCTTAGTCCGGCCCATGCCGCAAAGCCTGCCCCCGTTGGCAGCCGGCACCCGCCAGTTCTCAGCAGTTCCCTTCCACAGCGCAGAGTGCGCGCTGGCCAGCGTGGGCAGCTCACTGCACGGCGGCTTCCCTTCTCGTCTCCCTGCCCAGGTCTAACTTTTTTTTTTTTTTTTTGCCCGCTTTTGTTAGAAGAGAAACTTAAGAGTGCATCAGTCCTCACAGTCAGGCTTTTTTTTTTTTTAAGTTTATTGAAAAATGCCATACAAGAAGCAAGAGCAAACACTTACCTACACACTACAGCCACGCCTGTCACTAAGAAAGGCGCAGACAGCAGGCCCCACTACTGCTATCTCACCTAAGGGTTTCAGCTGGACTCTGCCGCCATAGTTCCTATTTTGTCAAATGTAAACAACTACTTGATATGATTCATAATTTTTTAAAAATTTTACAAAGCTCCTTCATTTTTGTCATCAAAATAATACATCTGAGAGATTTGTAAAAACCACCAGCCTGGGGCTATTTCCCATGAGCACTGGGGTGCTGGCCTCGGAGCTCAGCTCCATTTCTCAAGGTGGCCAGAGCTCCCCAACCCCAGCTGCTCAGCATGCCCCAGAATACACTGCTGGCCTGGGGGAGGGGCCCCGGAGGTAGCCTCCTGGGGCCCCAGCTTAGGAATATAGGGCTGGCGTTGTGGGTGGGTGGCAGAGATCTCATGTGGCTTGAAGGAAATCTACTTCTGAAGTAAAAATAAAACTGCAGTTGGGATTGTTACTGTGGTGTGCCTGAGTCACTTTGGGAAAGCTCCTGCCAAGTCTCTGACCCTGGAGTTGGGACTCCCCTCCCCCTTCACTCCTTCTACCTGGACAGAGTCTGTTCTCTACACACAACTGCAGAAAGAAAGAAGAAAATCCAAACAATTACCATATCCCAAGATCTGTTGCCAGAGCCAGCAAAGGAGGGGGAGGAGGCTGGAGGGACATCAGAATTCTGGCCCAATTTGCAGACAAGGCGGCAGAGAGGAGCAGAGCTCAGGTGCCCAGCTCTGAGGTCCTGATGAGGCTGGCCTGGAGCACGGCGCCGAGCGGGCAGGTGTCCTCCCACTCTATTTCAGAGCCGGGTGGGAGCTTCCTCCACACTAACACGGCTCCCTGCAGCACAGCCCTCTGGCTCAGCCCCAGACTGCAAGCTGGCTTCTGGGAGTGGAACCCAAGCCTTCCTCTCCACCTGGGCTACTCCTCCTTAGAGCAAGCTGCCACTGGTAACAGTCTCAGGGAGCTAAAACTGCACACTCAAAACCAGTTCAAAAGTGGCTGAATTTGTATACAGCAGTGGGCCAGGAGGGCAGAAACTGCATGGCTTCTGACTTTACTCCTGCTTGCTACCCTTCAGTGCCCAAGCACCCGCTGTCAACCCTCATGAAGTTCATTCCAGCCTAGAATTAGGATTTGACTAATCTTCCAGGCAGATGTTTGTAGGAAGTTAGCTGGAGGATTACTGAGGCCCAGATCGGGATGAAAAAAACCACCTCAAATTCTCACCACCAACTGGGGACATCAGGCTCCCTTTTCAAAATGAATATTAAAAAACAGGAAACTAAAGCCAAAATCCACCATAAAATCAAGCCTCAAAACCTTACAGACAGACTTCTCAGGCGATTGAGTGGGGATGCGCAGAGCTGCTCACACCCACCCTGACTGGGATGGCCACCAGGAGATGGAAACAGCCTTTCTCCTAGAGGGCACCTTCAGGCCTGTCACAGAAAGGTCACAGAAAGCACCCTCTTCCCTGAGCCACACCCCTTACCACACCAGGTGGGAGGAGGCCCAGGCTGAGGCTGGAAAGACTCCTTAACAGGATCCAACTGAGGTAAGGGCACCACTCCCCTGGGTGAAACTTGCTCCCGGAACAAGACCTGATTTTTTTAAAACCTCATTAACTTTTCTTCCCCAAACTACAACTAAAAATGTTCCATTGGCACTTTTGGTCAAAAGTGCCTAATTTTTCCATGAGTTCTGGTCTCCAGAGATGGGAGCTGGGGAGCACTTGATGAAGCTGTGTTTCCAGTGAGGGCCAGGGCAGCTGGGGAGGTGAAGGCCACAGAAGCATTCAAATGTTCACAGTATCGGCTCTCTCTGAAGCAACTAATTTCTTTGACTTAAAGAAGCTCCAAACAGAAGGGGGTGACATCATGTGCTCAGCGGAGGTCTCTGCCTTACCAAACACCCTGCAATGGGAGGCCACGTTTCTGGGGTCTGTGACCAGGGCATTTGCCCTGCCTGACATTCACTGGTACATGAAGTTTTTGTGTCATCAGAGGGTATGGAGCTCAGGGAGGAGCAGGAGGTCCCACTGAGCTGGCTCTGGCCTCTAGTGGCTGACAGGGTCTCTGGAGGTCTGGAGAAGTTTGTGGATCCTCTCAGGGTCTGAGTTGAAAATGAGTGAGGAAAGGCTAGGTGAGGGGTTACCAACCACCCCATAAAAAAACCAAAATGTCTTAAAAACAGTTCATAGAGCGAAAGGTTGACAATTTCTGTATCACAATATAGAGAACATCCGTGGCATCTCTTGGTAAAAATTCTGAATAGAAAATGAAGTTGGTTTTCTGTGGTGTGGAACAGTCTTCAAAGTATGAAGTCTGGCTGTTGCAGGCTGGCTTCTTTACCACATGCTGGCTTCTCTTGAAAGGGGGAAAAGGGAGGGGGCGGGGCAGTCCCTAGAGGGAAGAAAGAGCACAAGTTTGAAGCCCGAAGGTGCAAGCTTTGAGCAGTACCACCAGCTTCTCCGGGCTGGAGAGCTGCACTGGCTACCCTCTTTACTGTCCTCTTTAGACGTGCATTCATCTGGACCCTGCATGCCCAGCCACCTGGCCAGGCCCCAGAGCGCCACACTTCCCAACACCCATGCATTCCTCCAGAAGTCTGGCCCTGCTCTTCTGAGCTCTGTTCTTCAGCCCTCCTTGCCTCTGGCCAACTGCTCCTGCAGTTGCCAAGGGCAGAATAACAATGCGTGCAGGGGACAGCAGGGGACTCAGAGGTGGGTGACGGTTCAGACCCAGGTGTGACCTATCTCCTACTCAAAGCTGCTGGCAACACTAACACAGGACACACATGACCTGGCCACTCTGGTTGGAGTCACACAGTGAAGGCTAGCTATGCCGTAACTTCACTGAGTCCAGTGTAGACGTGTTTTGGGGTCAGGAGCCCCCGAGCACCCGGAGCTCCTTAGAACACTCTCTGGCTGAGATGGTGGCACTCCCCCACCCCAGCAGGAACACCCCTACCTGAGCTCACTCCTCAGAGATCTCAGTCTCCTGGTGGACAACCACCTTGGTCACTGACATGTCTGGGTGCTGTTCCTTGGCCTCCTTGATGGCTTGTACGAGGACCTGTGAAAAAAGTCAAAGCCAGTCAGGCAATGAGCAACCCAGCTGGTGAAGGAAGCCTGGGGCATTTCTGTAATGATGGTGGGAGCAGGCAGCACACAGCACAGCCCAAGTGGAGCAGTGCCTTGTCCTGTCTTGTGGAAGGAAGCTCTTGGACCAAGACCACAGAGGCAGGGAAGGACAGAGGTTTTCTGCAGAGAAACAGGCAACCTCAAGAGAAGGTTCGTTCACGGGGTGAATCTAGATCACAAACTGTTCAACATGGGAACATGGAGAGTCAGGTCAGGAAGGTGAGGAGGCACACAGCTTTTAAAAAAGAAGAGGTGTCTTGGTAAAAAGTGGAAGGAAGGCAGGAAGACAGGCAGGCAGGCTGACCCGTGGCACACTAGGTGCTGGCCTAAGCACACTGATTTACTTAATCTTCACAACGGTTCCGCTCTAAGAGTTCCACTCTATAAACAAGGAAGCTGCAGGCAACACAGATGCCAAGTTGCTTTACAGCTAGGAGCGCGACCAGGCTTTGAATATGAGTCTCTTCTTTGCCACACAGTCAACCTTAGGTTCCAGGGTGTCAGTCGGAGCCCCGGAAGGAGTCTAGATTACTATGGAACTATAGAGATTACTACTAGGCTACTGCAGAGCACAGAGGGGCAGTCACGGCAGGCAGGGGCACCTGGCAGGGAAGCCTATTAGAGTTAGAGCTATTTGCCCGATGCTTCCTAAGGACAATCTCCAGCCCAGACTAGGAGGAGACAGCTTCTGGCATCTAGATTCCCACAAAACCTGCTATCTCTGCTGGCCCTGCTCCTCTTCAGTGACCCAGCTGCTACACTCTAGGCCTAGCTCCATCAAGCCCTCTCCCTGGAGGCTCCACCTCCCTCTAAGAAAGCCTACGTGCAGCTTTCATCAACAGTCCTTCCTAAAGTGCCTCCTCTCAAGCCCGAGCCAGCGAACCACGCCTCCTCCCTCCCAGAGCCTTCAGTTCCAGGAGAAAAAACAAAGAACCCTGAGCTCTCTCTGAGCCATCAAGTATCATTACAGTGACTCTGACCCACGTTCATCTTCATTTTACAGGGTGAAGCCACAGCTCCAAGTTGCTCAGGGGTGTATACAATAGATCAGGGGCAGAGTTAGGGTTCAGACCTTTACTCCAAATACCTTCTGCCCCACAGCTCTTGCTGTCAAGAGCACAGATAACACGCAGCAGGGTTCAAGCCATAGACTTCGGACTGGTGTTAAGAGAGACCCACTGAGCTCAGCACACAGGCCACAAGGCCCCTACTTGGGTTTCCAGGCTTTTTTCTGGGACCCTGGGCACAGTATCCAAAGCAGTGAGTTCCAACCCTGCAGCTCCGCCCAGCTGTTCTCGGGTACATCAGCAGAGAGGCCAGCCCTGCCCTGGCAGGCCTGTCCCTTCCAGCCTCTTTCACCCCCTCTCCTCGGCAGCTCCACTGTGCTAACAGCACCCAGCAGAGAATTGGGAACATCAGTTCTGACCTTATTATTTGCTAATTGCTTGTAGCACACAATTAGCACCTAATTAACATAAAAACATAGAATTTTTAGCACCCAGAAGGACCCAGGAATTATCTGGATCAACTCACTATCTTTTAGAGAGAAAAACATCAGATGTGAAATGATCTACCCACGGTTACACAGCAAACGGTGAGAGACCTGGGCCACAGAACGGGTTCCACGCCTCCTGGTGTCTTAGCCGTCTCCTGCTCTTCCCTGTGCAGTCTGCTCAGCTACTGCAGTCCTTGTGGGTAGGGCCAGCACCTCCCCTCTGGCCTCCGAGGACTTGGAGCCCACATGCACTTGCCATCTCCTCCACGCACACTTACTTCTTGTTATTTGAGACAGGGTCTCAGTGTGTAGCTCAGGTTGCCTGTGGTGAACTTCCTGCCTCAGCCTCCTGAGCGCTGGCACGACAGGAGTGGGTGGCCACCATGCCTAGAACTGCCTGCCTAGCACTAACAGCTCCATCCCCTCAGGCTTCCATGTTTCTCTTGAGAGCGAAAGCAGCTGTTTGGGGATGCTGCTGTGCCCATCACGGCCCCCTGCGGCCTCCCTACCTGATCATGGTCGATGTCAGTATCTCCCGTGATCACAATTCTTTTCTCAATCCGGGTCTCGGAAATCCCACCTTTCACAGTCTGTAACCAAAGCAGACGCCGGTTGAGTGTCACACACAGCAGGAAAGAAAAGCAAGACAGCCCGATGATTCTAAAGGCTCCCGTCCACATGTTTTGTATATTTGTTTGTTTGTTATTTGAGAATGCAGCCCAGGCTGAGCACCGTGAGGCTGGCACTACCCAGGAGGGGGGTCCTGCTCCCCAACCTTAGGCTACTAGACTCTTTAGTATATGAACAAAAGAAACAGTTTGTTATTTACTTTCTTTATTCTTTTAAAAAAGATTTATTTATTCTAAATAAAACTAACACTCTGTTTTCATGCATACCAGAAGAGAGAATCAGATTCCATCACAGATGGTTGTGAGCCACCATGTGGGTACTGGGAATTGAACCCGGGTCCTCTGGAAGAGTTCTTCTAGAGCCATCTCTCCAGCCCTACTTTCTTTTTCTTCTTTCCAAATACTACAGAAACCCAGCAAGGAAGAGTGGCATCCCTTTTGGTTCTATATTTTTACTTGAGTATGTTTAGGATGAGAACACAGCTTCAAACTGGGACTTCCTATTTTAAAGCATTTCACATTATTAACGTCAAAAGAGCCTAAATAATCTTAAGTAGGGACAAACAAGGAAGACCAAGACTCAGACACATGGCTTGCTATCATCTGTGTCTTATGACAAAGCCTGGACAAATTTTTTTTCTTTCTTTTCTTTTCCTAAATGTCTTACCTATGACAAATTGCAGGCCAGGTGTGGTGGAGCAAACCTGTAACTCCAGCACTTCTGAGCCTGAGGTGAACTTGTGAGTTCCAGGTCAGCCTGGGCTACAGAGTGAGTTTCAAGCTAGTTTGGGCTACAGAATGAGATACCTCGATGAAAGAAAAAGAGAGAGAGAGAGAAAGAAGGAAAGAAAGAGAGAAAGAGAGAGAGAGAAAGAAGGAAGGAAAGAAAGAAAGAAAGAAAGGAAGGGAGGGAGGGAGGGAGGAAGGGAGAGAAGGAGGGAGGGGAAGGAAGGAAGGAAGGAAGGAAGGAAGGAAGGAAGGAAGGAAGGAAGGAAGAAAGAAAGAAAGAAAGAAAGAAAGAAAGAAAGAAAGAAAGAAAG